AGGCTGTGCTTATTAAAATAATCAAACCAAAGCCCCGAGGATGACTTGATAATAGCTTGCAGCCGGGTTGCGTTCCCAACAGCAGCTCACTGTTATGTATAAGCTTTCAAGAATTAGAACGGTTCCTCTATGCTAGAAACTGAGAAGAAAACTTTGTGGGGGAAGGAGAAGAGCGTGCTCCTATTCAAACCGCGATTATGTTCCTTATCCCAGGAGAGCAGGGGAACAGCCGATCAGAGCAGTCTGGAGGGTGCTTTGTTTAGGAGGAGGCAGCGACATACAGTTAATGTGATTTCTGTCAAGATTATGCTTGATCAGCACCTGGCGACCGGCAGGTCACGGCTCTGTCTTCAGCTTGTGTGTTTCTCAGACTGATGACTTTTGGAAGTCATATTAATGCCTGTTACCTAGAGAAAACTAGAAACCAGAAACTTCCTATGTTTTTGTGGGATTTAATTCCTGGAAGCAATCGGAGAGTTAATTGTTTCTGTGTATATTGGTGTGTGTTTGTGCCACAAGTTTACCCTTTGGAAGTTAGTGAATAGGGCAGCTAGTGCTTTTTGTTGTAAGTAATGTGGTTGTTTGCAGGTGTGACCTGATCACGGTCACTCACCTGCTGCTGCTTATTTGCCAGATCCAACAATCTTTCTCCCTCAGGTGGCTTCTTTACCTTATGGTTTTAGTTAAATTAAGCCTGTCAGTTGTAATCCCATTTCTTGTGGATGCTGTGAAGTGGTAGAAGTGACTTTATCTGCTTGATTGGTTGGCTTTTACTCTTAGGTTTTCGGTTATCCTCAGGGAGCAAGTGCTACGTGTTTCTCCAAGCATGGCTTGCAGAGAGGTGGCTTTTCGTTGTGGGCCGTTACTGGACTGTCATAAACAACTCTTGGACAATAATAGCCTCTTCATTGCCAACAAGAAGAGGAGAACAATGCTTGAAAGTTATAAGCACTTCTGAAGACCAAAAAAATATGGATTTTCATGTCTGGAGTTATTAATTTGTAGCTGACTTTCAAATAACATGAACTTTTAAGCAGCAGAGGTAATTTGAAAATTGCTTCTTAGGACTGTCTTGGAATAACTTTGTAGGGGTGCAGTTATTCCCCATGTTGTTGCCAGTTCCTGGAAAGTAAATTGATAACGTTTCCTAACAAGGATTGTGTACTCCTGGTGGAGCCAAGACGATCTCAGTTTCTTTGTGTGCTTGTCAGTGCAGATGGTAAATGTGTGTTCTACCTGCAGATAGAATCTGAGCTCTCTGGTAGATCCTAAAACAACTTCTATAGCCTAGATCTGGAAACATCCAGAGCAATTTCTTAGCTGTTAAGGGAGAGGAGGAGAGAGAAACTTTGTGGTCCAAATCTCTTGTTCATTAGGATATGTCCAAAGAATATAAAAGAAAATAAATTCCTACCATTGGCTTGTTGCTGTTCTCTTCTGATTTTTTTTTTTGTTTACTTCTGTGCACTGCCAGTTCTCCTGGGATTGCATTCTTTGGACTTCTGTTTCCTTCTTTTCATTTCTCTTCCCTTCTTTTCTCTCCTCTGTGTGTTAGTTTTTCTGGCATTTTAGCCAAACCTTTTCCATTGTATAATGCTTATAACATTGAAACAATTTCTGTGCTGTATTAGGCCTGTAGTGTCTTGTCCTGTTGTGACTTGTAACCATTGTGTTTTGGTATTGTACCAGATTTGGGATTTCTTTAATAATCACTCAAAAGTTGCTCTTAGTTTTGTTATTTTAAAAAGAAACAAACCCCCTTGACATTCCACATCAATGTCACTCTGTTAACAGACGCCTCTTCAAGTAATACATGCGTGACCATAGGAGTTTGGCAGCTTACTGTGGAATTGGCACCGGAGGCCTCTTGAAACAGTTTAAAGTATTTAAAAACTTCTGAAAACTGTTTTCCTTCCAGGTGCAGTTTTATGGCTAACTTAGTCTGAAAGATGAAATGGGCATTCCAGCTCTTCCAGATCTGTTTGTGAAACAAAAACAACAGTTGACAACAAAACTTACCACCGAAACCTTGCAGGGTGACATCATCGTAAGAGAGTCCATTTGTTAAATTCAAATAGCTTTCATAAATTTCCATTATGTTTATTAAGGCAATGCTGAAATTTAAAGAATAGACTGCTTTAAATGTTTGGACTTCCTGTATTATTGGTTGATGTAATTTTCCACCCTGATATGACTCCAGAGAAGAGATGGAAAAAAAAAGGTACTACAGTGAAAAAGACACTGTGATCTATTATAAGAAAAAAAAAACCAACAAAAAACCAAACATAAAAAAAAAACCCAAAAAACAAACATAAAGCTGTTTGTATACAATCTGCCCACGTGTGTAACAGATGAATCTGGCCTTTGGCAGAATAAGTAGAGGGTTATTGAAACATGAAATGACAATGACTTTAAATCAATGATCTCTGCTTGCGCACAGCACATCCAGCTCCGCAGTTACCTGGTAGGTGGCCCGAGGGATGGTCAGAGGGATCTGGGTTCGCTGCAGAAGTGCAGAACAGCTCTTCTGAATGCGCTGCAACGCTACTCAGTTTTAGTACAGACTGCTCATGCTGTGAGTTGTAGAAGTATTTTAATCATCAGAATCTTTTCCTCTGCTGGTTTAAGCTGACCTGGACTTTTGGATAGGCACAGTAAAAGATTAGCTTCCTTAATGTGCAGCACCTTAAAGGATGGTTCAGTTATAGGAGCCATCCTTGGGCTTCATTGAAGTCACTCTTTGCCCTCCATTTCCTGAAGGGAATGGATACAGTTTATCACCCTCCCTTCATCAGTTATTTAAAAACCTTGGTTAAGGCTTGATCCATTGGCAATACATCAGTTAGCACCTTGGGCAATCCTTGCAACTGCTGCTTTTCTGAAATCCCCAGTATGGGCAGTCCCTCTTTTGCCTGCAGCTGTTGTAGCTGCACCTGATGTTTCATCAGAAATCCCTTCAAACTTGTCAGACCCAGCTTGTCCCTGAACTGGCTGGGTACCTCATCCCTGCCACAGCCCTGCTCTGCTGGGGGAAACATGCTCAAGCAAGAAGGGGAAAGGGTGCTGCAGACTCTCTGTGGTGGCTTTCCTTGGAGGAAACCTGCTGTGGCTCTTCTTTGGATTAGTTTGGGCTGTTTCACTAAATTAAAGCAGATTTTTGTAGAATTTCTTCTTTAATTTCACCTCCTCACTTCTTTACCCTGCCCTATTAAAATTAATGCATTACTCTGGCTAGTTTGTAGTGGGGAGATAAAGAGGTGAGAACTCGCTGGATGGATATAAACCACTGAATTCACAATATATTCTCCGAGGCTTTAATTGTTTTAAGGAGTTTGGGAGCAGGGAAACATGGCCTAAATTCTTTGATGTTAAAAATATTTTTCCGTATCTTGATATCACCCTGTTGTTACAGGCAGAGTTTGTCGCTCATTTGCAGGGGAGAGCTCAGTGTATGTTGGTCTCTTCTTCTTCATTTACTAAGAAAATGAACTCTGAAGGATTTCTGCATCTTTTATTCCTTTAATAAGACTCTAAAGGAGTGCCTGCCTTCCCTGATCTTACAGGGCTGCAGACATCTTGCAAATATTGGTCTAACTCCAGGTACTGCTACATCCAGACCCTTGTGGATCAGCATGGTACGTAGGAGCTAATGCAATGTTTTAGCTGAGGAAAGGCCTTGGTGTGGGTTTTAGAAAACCTTTTTGATCCTTTTAGTGCAAGCTCACAGTGGCAATACAGCAAGTCAGTTAGCCATGGGACATAGCAAGGACAAAGAAAGGCTTTTTGTTTCTTCTTACCCTGTAGAGTTAATGTAGTAATGTAGTAATGTAGTCTTGCCCCAGAGATGCCATGTGGCTCGGCGTCTGTGAAATCCAACGCAAAGATTGAAAGGCAAGATAGACATTCCCAACTGGAGGCTGGTTGAGTTTTCTTAAGTTGTGTAAATGTGCTAAAACTTACGTTCCTGTTTGACTTATGTCTGTAGAATCGGATAAACTCTGTATGTACACCTTAGGAGTAGATGTGTGAGTAGAAATGGTGTATAAAAAGCAAAAGAGGAGCAGCCACCTGCAGCTCGGAGACAGGGCCAGAGCTGTTGGCACAACCAGAACCTTTGGGCCAAAGTTCAGCGTATTTTCATGAAGCAGAGGGCAAACAATAGACCCACAAAAAAGGAGGAAAACTCCTTGCAGAACAGGAAATTATACCAAGTGAGTGAGACTGCGAAGATTTTAAGAGGTATCTGGGCAGTGGTGGGGGGAGTGAGGATGGGAGGTGGTGAAAAGAGGATTTTTTTTAAATGGAAGTTGTCTTTCAGAGAGTCAGGACCTAATCCAGTTAAAATAAACTCGTGCTATTATTCTTCCATATAATCTTTTTAGATCCATATTCTTTCCTGTACACCACAGTAGGGATTTAATCTAAGCTGGCTTTTGTTACTGAAGTGGTAGTATATTAAGTAATTTCCCCTCTGCCAAACACCTGTTAAGATTTTTAGTCGCAAGATGCGTTACATCAAAAGCTATTCAGTAGCCATACCCTGGGGGGGATCTTGCTTGGGTTGGTGATGCTGAGCATTCTTCCTTAGTGACTTTCCTGCAACTGAAACAAACAGCTGGGATTTTTGCTGCTATGGGGTGTACTTGTAGCTGGCTTAACGCGCTGAACTTGGAAACACTGTATTTCCAATGTTGGTAACCCAGGTTCCCAAATAAAAGGTTAAAAAACCCTCCAAACCCTGCCGGGTTAATCCTGACCCTTGTGTGGAAGGGATTGGGGTTAAGGAGAACTCTGATCAGGAGAAAGGAGTAGATTAACTAGATGAGTGTCAAAAGAATATATTCTTCTAAAGGACTGCAATACCACTACAGAACAAAAAGGTCTGTCGGAAAACAGACCACAAGCATGAAGACATTTACTACTGAGTAGTTTTAATAGAATGTTGTGGTCAGAAAGTGAGTATATCCCTTTTTTTTCTTTTTTTTTCTCTTTTATTCTAGTTGAATGGATTGCTGCAGTCTCCTTAGCTGCCGGAGCAGCTGCTGTTGGGTATCTAGCTTACAAAAAATTTCTCTCTAAAGACAAATGCTGCAAAGCAATGGTGAATCCCCATATCCAGAAGGATAACCCCAAGGTAGTCCATGCATTTGATATGGAAGATCTGGGAGACAAGGCTGTGTACTGTCGTTGTTGGAGATCTAAGAAGGTAAGAGAAGAATAAATGGTCCATTTTCATTCATGTGCATGCATCTTTCAACAAAACTATTTTCAAACTGCTTTGTTTAGAGGAAACTAGCTTTGCACCTAAACTATTCTGCGGCGAGATGCAGCAGTATTTTAATCCATAAATCTATGTAGATTTATACTGTCACTCAGAGTAAAGCCGGCAGATCAGCACTAATAGCAAACAAAATCTTTCAGTAGTTGTGAAGAAGCAGATTCCTTGAAAGGAGAGCTGCCGTATGGAGCAATCACAGTCAGGAATGACAGATGCCATTTTGTGTGCTGCCTTTGCTAATCCCGACCTTATACAAAACTACTGGCCTGTTAGCAGTAGGAGCTCAGGAACCACAGTCTGAGAAGACCTTAAACACTTTTTACCCAAAGAAGTTGGAAGCCTGAAAATACCTTGCTATTAGTTCATGGTGTTAATAACACAAATCCATTTTAAAAGTCCCTTGGTATACCAGAGCTGGTGTCAAAGTGTCACTTGCGGTGTCTGAGCCCATCATTAACTCTTGTAGACAGGGTGAGTGCAGAATGATTTAGGAAGAGCCTGTCTTGAACAGTTGATACTACGGTGGTAGTGCTGTTCTGTCCCGAATATATTGTTGTAGTAGTGCTGTGCACTGTAGATAGCCACCTTTTTCCACTTGAATGAGTACAGCAGTGAATTGTTTCCAGTGGTGATGAAGGTAATCTAAAAAAGTCATTGTGGTTAAAAGCTTTTGAAGAATCTAGACAGATGACTTAATGCATTTGTGCCTTAGCAACTCAAAATAGTTATATGGGTAATCCTACAGTAAAGCCGGTGAAATCATGATGGCATACTTTAAGCCTGTATTTTTGAGCAATTAAGAGTCTGACCTAGATACCGGTCCAACTTACTTGCGTATGAAGTTGGGTTGTCTCAGTTGCCTAAAGTTAGTGGTAAGCATGATACCTGGCCTTTCAATAACACTAAAATTGGATTTAAATCTGAGGTAGAGAAGCATGACATTGGGTGTAGCTGCGATCTGTATAATTTATCTGTAGTGGTAGTTCTCAGATCTGTAAGGAGAGAAAGCAGATATCATGAGTAGTCCTTTCCGTTTGCCACTGGCACACATTTAAAGGCTTTTTTAGAAGTCAAGGTGACAATGTGCAGAGACTGAAATAATACAAACTTTCGAAGTCAGATGACTGAGGCCAACTGCCTTGAAATCCAGCTTGCTCTCCATCCATTGACTGCATACTGGACTTCTCAGGCCTTAGACACGGGTCTGGTCAGGCCACACTCTGGAGTTTTCCAGGTACTGTAACTTTCAGTTCTTGCTCTTGTCAGATCTGACTTCATTACCTTGTGGGTGAAAATAACTCAGCAAGTTACACGTTTGTAGCTGTGTTTGGTTTAACACTAAAACACTACTGAGGGTTAAACAGCATCAGGACTGGATTCTGAAATAGTCCTGTGGAGATGGGCTTGTCTTTGCTCTGTCCAGAGTCTGAACAGAAAACCAAAATTCCACATCCCCCCACCGTTGCCACACTGTGCTCCGTGGATGAAGTTACATACCGTATGATTATACAACAGGGAAGCGTGTACATTTACGTGCAGTGCCGACGGCTGTGTAGCATGCAGGTATCATGCATGTGTATAGCAGCATTGCTGCTATATCTTTGTGGTAAGTCTCAATTGACAGCCAGAATCCAGCTTTGGAGGCTGCTGCAAGGGCTGCAGCTTCAGAAAATAAAAAGGGGGAAGAGAAAGGCTGCTCTAAGTATCTGCACTTTGTTTTAATACTTAAATTTGGATTTACCTTGGTTTGCAATAGTGTAGGCACCTCCTTCAGTGCTCCTGGGGAAAAAAAAGAAAAAAAAATCAACAAATCCTGATTTGCACTTTGGTGTTTGTCCTTTTTGCTTCCTACTCTGTTTTCTAAACAGGTTGCATTGCAGCTCCTGCCAATATTCTAGCTATCGTTTGATACTATTTTTTTTGGTGTGAAAGAAAAATCTTTAGTAGTACATTTTGGCATATATTGAAGGGGTGTTGTCAGTTTAGGAACATGCTGTCCTACTGAGTTAGGGCTCTGTAATCAACACCCTAAAAGGAAGTAGATGGGGCTACCTTATGATGAGTCCGTTATTAGAACTCTGAAAGGTCTTGTGAAGGCATTAAGGAGGTCAGTGGAAGATTTTGAAGGCCTTTGTTCTCTTTTACTGATGCTTAATAATGAGTATTTTAATCAGCGTGTTGTGCTTCAAAGACCACAGTTTCCAGTTTTGCTGCCTTCCTCTTGCCCTGATCAGTTGACCTTGTATGGTGGGTAGCATGGTCTTTAAGATGGTGTGCGTGCTCCTTCTCATGTTCAGTTATTGCCAAGCAGTAATAAAATACAGAGACATTCTTCATCATTCTCACATGCTTGTCATCTTTGGAAGCGGTTAGCTAGCATTATCTGTTTCTTACAGTTCTCAAACTAAGATCCTGTTAAAACGTGTAAGGTAATATTTATATGATGGCAAAATGGTAGAGTGCGTGTGCTGCCAATGCAGGGGATTATAATTACTTCCAAAGCAGTAAGTACCCACTGTGTTTTTGTTAAATAAGTGATGTATGGGGATCTCTGTTCTACATACAGGTTAGAAGAAACATCCTCTTGTATCGATTGATTAAGCACTTCTCATCAGGTTTAGCCTCATCGGAGGCACGAGGCCGTTACAAGAACCAAGTAGTGGTATAAGCCATAGGATATTTCTGTGTGTACCGATGGTGTATGTGCGCTACAGCTGGCTTCGCATGGCGTTCCTCCTGTACGGGGAATAAAAACCAGTTGGACTATACCAGGGTGTTCTGGAGTAACTCTTTAAAAAGGAGCAAGATTATTTTCTTTTTTTGTTTTCCTTCTGAAAAAGTATACTTCAAAGGCTTTTTGTTTGTTTGTGTTCGCCAAAATCACACATGGTATCTTTAAATAAGTCCGTCTTGGGATGTAATTATCTGTTAAAGTAGGTGGTAGGTAGTTCTTTAAATGGCCCTTTCCTATTTGGTGTTGTGCTCTGCAGGCACTTCATAGCACTGCTTGTCAAGTTTTGTGGAAAAGCCCAGTGTTCAAATTTATCAGTGTAGAGGCAAGAGTTTTGTCTTAAAACCAAACTGTAATTAGACTCAAATTAGAACATTTGTTTTCTTACCCTTCTGCATTTTGAAGTGTGTGAGCCGGGGCGAAAAAATCATTTGCTTTCTTTTGCAATGACCTGCAACCTCTCTGTCTTCCAGAGAAGTATTAGTCCCCAGGCTGTAGGTCAAGGAATACTGCCGCAGAACATCAGAAGAAATAGTGGTGGAGAATCTAAACCTGTTCATTGTCAATGGAAATAAGCCGAGTTGTCCAGTTCACTGCACGCTTCCCTCGGGGTTTGAGATTTGGCCGCTATTGCTAGCATGCTTTATCTTAATCGAGGATGAACGTGTTCTGTCAGGCCCAGGATCCATCTGTTCAGTGTCTGGTCTTCAGTGTGACCAGTTGGTCTGGCAAGTGGTGGTGGCAGCTGGGTTTTTTTCCTGAGAAACTCGAATCTAGTGTCCTAGCCTTCGGGAGCCAGTGGTTCCGAGACCAGCTTGACCCAGAGGATGAGTCAGAGTTGGTAGCTGTTAAAGATGTCTTGATGCCATCTGAAGCCTGTGAATTCCACAATTTTTGTCACTTGCAAACTTGAAGTGATGATATTGCTGTAGCTGGACCTTGGGCTTGCCTCCTTGGGGCATGTGAGATGTTAATGTCTGATGGAAGCTGGGTCAATGCTTCTGTGAAGACCAGCAAATTGTGGTGTTGCATGGAAACAAAACTGGCCCGGGAAGATCTGGGTTGGAAGCGGGTCAGTGTCCCATGAACATGTGATCTTGTTTGCTCAGAATTTTTCCCAAGTATCTGTCAGTACCTACTCACTGAGTCACAGATGACTGATGTGATGATAAAGTTCCTGCATGAATCAGCTTACATGATTATTCTCTGAATTCAGGGTTTCTTTATTTGGAAGCGTCACCTGCCATTTATAGCGTGGGTTTTGACATTTTGTAACTGTGAAAAACAAAAAAATCCCCATTTCCCCTCTCTCCCCTCCACTGCCCCCCCTCCCCAACACGCTACCCTACAGGGCATATGACTTTATTTTTAGAGCTCTGGGAAATTTTTTTACAAGTATATTATCTTCATTATATTGTTTTCCTGCAGTACTTTGAAGTCTTTTATTCTAACTAGGTGTGGGTGACAGGGTGTTTGTTTTTTTCAAGGGCTATGACTGAGGCATGAACATTGGGATCAGTGGAGTGTCAAAGACTTTGTGACTGTACTGTGAGGGAATATTGCCCTTGCAAAGGCAGCAGCTGAGTAATGCCCAACTTTGATTCCCATTACTTCTAAGCAAACAAAATAGTAACTGAATGCAAAATACTGGTGTGTGATTTCTGTGATCATTTCCTCTGCGGAGGAGGCATAGCCCTGAAAACACTTCCTTGAGAAGTGATGGGATCTGACCTCACTCTTGTTGCTTCACAGAACGTCTCTCAGCTCTCGGACGTGAAAAGAGCTGCCCAGGAGCAGAGTGGTTGTGACTGGTCTGGGACCTGGGCACTTAGAGCTGGCTGAAGGAGTCCCTGGGGGTCTTGCTCTGACCAGGCTGTTCCAGGAGGGGCTTTTTTATGGAACAAACATTTCTTCAAATTGCTTCCTCAGTGCTACCCTTAAAACTCCCTGATGAATAGCCATGTCAGTTGGAAGGGCAGTTTATTTCCATTAGCAGGTCAAAATCCTAATGTCAAAGCCAGCTTGTGCAGAGCGACCTTTGTGCTGATGAGAGAAGCCAGCTGTGTCAGGAGGAAGCAAAGGCAGCTTGCCACTCTAGCTGTCTGGAGGCAGGACTAATATGTAGGTGTCTCTCTTAAATAAGACATGAGCTAGGGAAACTGTCCTTTTACTCCTCATGTGCTACAGAAAACCAGGAGAAAAAATTTGGCAAAGGCTCTCCTCCTGTTTCTCTTCCTCACCTCACTTATCTTCTGTAACTGCACTCAACTCTGGCTGTTGCCCAGGAAAACAGAGCGTTGGGGCAAGGCTGAGAGCAAGATACTCCAGGTGGGTTACAGCTGAAGGTCAGCACGGGCGGCACATTCCTCATGTTGGCCTGAGGCAGGAACACCAAACAGAGTAGAGCTGAGTTGCTGCTTTTTTCTTAACAAGCCTCTTGTCCGCTCTGCACTCACGTGGACAGAACTAGCATTCAGGCAAAATTCAGGGAGACCCACGATGCCAGCACAGAAGTTATGGTCTGCGGTCGCAGTGGGTTTAACGAGAAGATGGTCTAATGAACTTTTAACCTTAATTCTGGCTCTGGATGTACTTTAGATGTGTTTATTCTTTCTCTTTTCAGTTCCCGCTGTGTGACGGCTCTCACACGAAGCACAACGAGGAGACTGGCGACAATGTTGGGCCTCTGATCATCAAGAGGAAGGAGGCATAGAGTGGACAGTAGAAGCTACAAAATGAATGTCTGACAAATCCTCTGCTCACTTGTAATTGGGGGGAAAACCCACAAATTCTTTGTCATGTCACTGAAGACTTCCCAGTGTAGTACATACATCAGGCTTCAGCATGTGTATTTTATCTGGTGCTTGTCTTGTTTTAATCACTACAATGCATAAGTCACTAAATAGTCATGGTTTAAATTTTTTGTCCTGTAAAGTGTGTGTACCTTCTCATTGAGTATGAAACTAAAATGACGCACAGAATGTACTTCAGCAGAAAATAGGTATTATTTTCAAATACATGTGTACTATTCTGAGGCTATTCAGTAGAAAGTGTGTTCAAAATGTAGATCTTAAAATTCCGGAGGGGTTCTGAAGTCACAGGTCTGGATTGATTTCTGTGTGAAAGGCAGTGGCAGGAAAGAAATCATGGTGCCAAAATGCAGCTTAACCTCTTATTACGCTGCATTTTCTGCAGGTGTCATGTTTGGCCTGTTACACTACTGTGTGGCTTCTGAAAAATAAAAATTAAAATAGTGAACAATGAACAGACAATATAAAAGGCTTATAGCAAGATGAGGCTAAAAGGCAACTTTACCTTTGATTTTACAGCACTGTGGAAACTTGACCCTACTATGATATGGTATCAAGAACACACTCTTGGAACTGTAGAGCTGTATTTAGAGCAGGATTAGGAAGATGGTCTCTGCGAGAGCTTTCTTAATTGACAAGTGGAATGATGTGACGGGCGGGGGGTGGCAGGGTTGCCTTTGCTGCTAGAAAGCCTTAGTTTCACTTGCAGTCTCTAGCAGTGAAGCTAATTTCCCCAGACCACAGGGTGCTTCTGTGGAGGAACCTATGCTGATTTATTCCAGAATCTAAAATACAAACTAAAACCCCACCCATCATTACTGTCTGCTTCGTCATTGCTCTGGCTGGTTCCGGAGGACACTTCCCACTGTGGAGGGAGGAGGCACACCTTTCTTACAAAGTGGCCTTAGGCTCTATGTGTCTTAAATAACTCCTGCCTCCCTGGGCTAACTTGTTAATGTGGTTCAGCTAATTTTACCAAAAGAACTGACACGGAAAAGGAAAGGCTTTGGCGACAGCTAGAAACAAGGGGGAAGGGACGGATGAGACAAGGAGAGCTCTTATCCTCCTTTTGCGTGGCACTTGTCTGCCTCGTCTGACGTGGTTGCATTAATGGTTGTCATGTTGGTTTCCTTAAATAGCTTTGATTTATCAACATGCAAATGACTACAAAGCAAAACCCAAAGAGTGAGGTGGCAGAGGGCAGTTTTGTATTAAACCCAATCCATTAGCGTAATCGCAGCCTGTGTAAGATTGAGCTCTTGATGTCCTGGGACAGAGAGACTACCTCAGAGCTAGAGGAAGGGCCTTTTCAAGAAGCTGACGTTTTAACCTGGACCCTTAAGGATTCTTCCAGATGATTTGGACAGTAGAGATTTTATTTAATTTTTTTAGGGGTGTGGTTGGTTTAGCTGGTTAAGATTGAAGAAGATGTTTCACGTATTCTCAGTGTGGCACTTTCAGAGGCTGAGGTCTTTGCTGACTGGTCTGAACTTTGGCAGAAGGCGCAAAGAGTAGAGAAGGTGGCACAGACGTAGAGAAAGAGGGTTTGCAGGTGGGGGCAACTACTGTCTGTGAGAGACCTCTGCTTGTAAGAAGTTGCAGTCAAATATATTTAGTTGTATCTTTTCTTCCTGTCTTGACCGTAAAGGTACTTGATATTTTTTACGTGGCCGAGTACTGATGCCTATGGAAAGTTGTTTTAACCTTAAATTATCAAATACATTGCTTTTATCCAAAACAAAGTTATTTCTGTATTATTAGACTATGACACTGGATATTTCTGTATTTTTGTCGAATACACATTTGAGCTCATCTGAATCTCGAGGTTGTAATGTCTGTGTTATCTCATGGGTGTGCTGGTTTTTGCAAGGGAGAGTTACACTGCGCTTTACACCAATGCTGCTGTAATTGTAAACCTGTGTCTGGGTTGGGTTTTCCTTATTAGACTTCTTTCTCTGTTAGCAGCAAAGCCTGGCTGCTCTTGAAGGAATAAAAGTTCACTGAAAGCTGCATTAATGTTCCGAGAGATGAAGTCCTGAAGTTTCAAATGAGTCTCCTCAGTCATAAAACTATTTCCTGGATTTTGGGCATCAGGGAAGTGGGCTCCACGAGAAGTTTTTGTTCCTGGGAAGCAAAGATGCAGAAGCAGAGATTGTGTTCATTTACATCCTGGTGAGTTTGTTTTGGAGAATGTCACATTTCTGAAAGTGGACACAAAGTGGTTAAATTTTATTTCGATGTGCGTACAATTTTCTGTACTGTATCTAAAAGTTCCTGTTACTTGTGTGTGAGCTGTTTGAACGTGATAATGAAAAGAGATAATTGAATTTTGAGTAAACAAGCTTGCCAGTGGTCTGAATGAACATCACAGAGAACATTTCTTTTTTTTTTTCTTCCTTAGTACCATCATAAGTTATCATGTTCTGATGGTCTGAGCGCTTGCCTGCTCCAGTGTTTTCTGAAATTGCTGATCTTGTGCTTCCCTCAAATACTCTCTAGAATATGAAGTGAATTGGTTAGGTTTTACCAGGTTTTAACCGTAAAGAAATTCTTAGGCAGTTTTCACCTCACATTGAAGCTCCTACATGAAAATGTGGTACAAATCCTTCATATTAAAGCCGTGAGGGATTCCTGTCCCAGAGTAAAACTGTATTTCTGTTCTACGTTATCTTTCAACATGTAAGTGTTCATTAGGAAGGTGAACAGATTAAAGTACTGATTCTGCAGTAATTGAGTGTGACTCATCAAAATAGTCTGAATGTCAAATATTCAGGTGCTTCTAGAATCAGCATTCTTGAAGAGGAGACGGCTGTAAGTTCCAGGTATTTTCTGCACGTTTAATTGAAGCTCGGTTAATCTAACGGATGATTATGAATGGTGAGGCAAGCATTGCAATCACAGGCTGGCCCACTAGGAGGAAACAAATGCTGTGCAATGATGGGGGCAAGGCTGGTTCTGAGGGGCTTTTATACACGCATCTATTTATGGGTTTGGGGGTTTTTTTCAGCAGCATTGCTGTCTGTCTGAGCCCAGGCATCTAGAAGTGCTGCGTAAACGTGTTTGGAACTAAGCGGCTTTTCATGCACGGAGGCTCATGCACTTTGTATTCTAGCAGTTGTATCATCAGCCCTTACTAATATTTGCACCATATTGTCGCAGTTTAGACCTTGCTGTGGTGCTGTTGGGGTCTGCAAAATTTATTTTGCACAGTTGCATAGCAGTTGCACTAGGATTTCTCTTTCAGTGTGCTACAGCTAGATAAAGACATGGAAACGTGCGTCACTGCTGTATCACAGTTGCTCACTCCAATAATGGAAGAACATTTAATAATAGCAGGAAGGATAAGAACGTAGGCGTGAAACTAAACATCGGTGTTGCAGACAAACCTCGTCAGCTGGCTTCTCTTTAGCCATGTTGGAGATGGAAGTCTAAATTTGGCTTTTGTTCCAACTCCTGAAGCTTCACAGCTGACAAAACCTACCCCGAGCCCCAGCTGGATTAGGTGGAAGAGCTTGGGTGAAAGAGCGTGATCTCCCCGGGGCGTGTGGGCAGAGAGGGGATGCCCCGACACGGCTGCCAGCAGGCTGAGTTATCTATCTGTGCTCAGCATCTCTATCGCAGCCTGCTCAGAACGTTTCATGTGGACCTGCTGATCAGACCAAATGCCTGTCCCATGGTCACTGGTGCGCATTAAGCCCAGCAGTGTCGGATACCCCTTCCCCCAGTTGCTTTCTGCACCCAGGCTTGCTCTCCTGCATTGATGAGGAAGGAGAATGATCATTTTCCTAGAGCCATCGTTAATTTAGGATCGGTACCAGGAGCTGCTGCTTGAAGCTCTCTGCTGCTTGTTTTCTGCTGTCACGGTGATGTAGCTGCACTGTCTGCGGTGCATGGTGCATTTCTCGGGCAGGATGATTTCCAGGAAGCTGAGGCTAATGCAGAGAGGAGCTGAATAAAAACTAAATAACATAAAAATAAATAAATGTGTGGAGAGAAACAAGAAGGGGAAAAAGAAGAAATAAAATGGCAGATGGGAGGAGAGCGTAAGCTAGAAGATTTAATACCATGTAACATTGCTAGGCGGTAGCAAAAAAGGGATAAATGAAATTACAAAAAATGATGCATCACATTGTACAACTGACGCTTTGCTCTATTAAGAGGTATAATGTAAAGTGGCTGTTCATTAGCTTCTGGAGCTAAGCGGTTCTATTAGCCAAAAACTCACTCCTTAGAGCCAAAGGGGTTATGTGCCTTGAGCAGACATCTGCGTTTTTCCTTCCTGAACTGTCTGTGCAATCCCGCAGTGCTGGACAGAAAGCAACGTACGCTCACGCCGTGGGTCACTTGTTAGCAGTCTAATGTTCCTCCCCACCTACCTTTGTAAACTGTTTAATTAGATGTGCAATTATAATAAATAGGACTATTTACCGGTATGCTCCCTGAAGTCAGTAAAATCACCGTAGGTTTATGTGATTGTAGCAAAGCAGAATTCAGTCCACCTTTCTCATGTGCAGAAAGGATTTATCGGGGTTCTCAAGGAACTTCTGTTTTCTTCGATACATAGAAGTTGCATATGTCTCACGTAAGCCCAGAGAGATCACTTCTCTCGGTATTTTCTTTTCCTAGCTGAAGACTGAACCATCCCTCCTCTCCAATTTGACATTGCACTGCCCTTAATCCGCTCTCCTCTGCATCGTTTTTGTCATGCAGACTGCAGTTTTCTTTTGGCTTTTTTGAATGCGTGGCACATTTATTTAGAAAAAAAAAAAAAAAAAAGCACCTTCTACTCTCCAGGAGAAGCCTGTGCAAAAAGAGGAGCTTCCCAAGCGTGCCAGAAATTACAGCTTTAATGTGTGAAGCATTCAAAATTCAGCATACTGCAAGGATCTGCTCAGTAGCTGGAATGTTTGTGCTGTTCGGTCAAGTCAGCTGGCAACAGAAAAGCAGCAAAATGAATGATAAGGTCACTGACTGCGTAACTTTTCTCAGATACTTTTCTGCAGCTGGCAAATACCACCATACATGGGTAAGACGTGGTCAAGACGCACTGTCTGTTCACTGCTGGGACTCTTGCTCGAGACTTGCAAAACAACGGCCAGAACAGACTTTCACTTCAGCAATTATTAAATTTGCTGCTCTTTTAAAACAGCGTGATCTTGCTCTTTCAATCTCATT